AACATTGCTGTTCGGTCAAACACCCCATCCTTAGCCCAAAACAACGAAACAAATTCCCCTAAAAAAAAAAAAAAAAAAAAAAAAATCAATAAATAAGAAAGAAATGTAGGTCAACAGGTTGGTATGAATTTTATTTGCCAGTATTCTTAGAAATAAACATGTAAATCCTATAATGTTACATCAAGGCGCCTCTTTGAACATCTTAACACCTCATACTTCTCCCTGTTTTTCATCCAATTGCATGCTCCCTTCAAACCACCACAACCATTTATGGATGTTTGTAAAAGCAGGAGTGACAAGTCCAGACTCGTGCAACGAGACTGCAGTAAGCGCCGTGTTACACACCCTGCAGGATTTCTGCATCTGTTTGACTGGAAACCCAGAAATCAAAACGCTGTTAGAGATGCAGCACACCTGATTTGGATGACAGTATCACCAACGTTGGGATGACTTGGAAAGATGAAGGCTACATAAAACATCATGCCAAAAAAGAAAAAGAAAAAAACAACCTGTGATGTTATGATGATTACTGTGTGAAAGAGTTTGAAGCACTTACTCACCCCCGTCCCATTGTCACAAACCACCACCTTCCTCCCTTGGCTGTCCATGCCTTCGCTAACAGTTCAAGATACTCCCACTTGTCCGACGAGAGCCTGATTAAGCTTAATAGTGAAGGTAAACATGCATGAGTTAAACTGGGATCACAACTGACAGGTAGGCAGAAGTCTGCTCTTGAAGCGTGGGTGGGGTTACACAAAGTAAAAACACCCGTTTTATGGCGAAGGAGGATGAGGAGGGGTGGAGTTTTTAATTTTTTTATTGAAGCAGGAAAGGTTTTGTCTCGTTTATGAAAGCAGAACTTCCACAAATGACCTTTTGGATCAGTTCAGCATTTTGTGGTGCACTCTGCAGAGATTACTATTTACCATTTATGCAGGTTTGTTGATCCTCCACAACTTTGATATTGAATCTGAACATAAGCTACGATATTTGGCTATACAACCTTCTGTTATTACCTCTACAGTAAACCAGCATGTGGACATTGGAATTGTTGACACTTTATCAGTCCAATCATCAGAAAATGTTAAAACCTTTATTCAGGAAAGACAGGTGTGACCTGAAAACAGTCTGATCATAGCTGAAAATAATAAAACAAAAGAATTGTGAAAGAAAAGGCTCATCTTTGCAGTACTAATTTATCTGCTGCTTTGGGAGAATGACAATGATGGAACTAAATAATACAATAATATTTGACCCAGAATTAAACTTCTAGTTTATCATGAAATCCAGAGGAGGTGCAACAAAATATAAATCAATACATGAGTTAAATAATTTGCTTTTATCATAATTTTATTATTTATGAAATATTATGATAGTGTACTTTACACATCCGTTTACATATTTAGAGATAAAAATTGGAACTCGCCTCGTCCTCATAAAGATGCCAAACAAACGATACAAGAACTGAGATGAACACAAATAAGGTTATTATACAGCCCTCTGGCGGTGAGATGCAGTAGTGCGTCTTATTAAGGGTGAACATTGCAGCCTTGCAATTAAACTTTGTAGTAATGGCGGATTTGTGACGTTACCGTACTGATCCTCCAAACGGACAGCTCGTTTTCAACTTCATGGTAACAAATTCAACACCGCATTTTTATTAATTATTCATTATTTTTTGTTAAGTTCGGTAAGCCTGTTTTTCCCAGAATGGTAACTGTTTTTTCATCTTTTGACCGTAGTGGTTCTGGGAAAGAAACCGGGCGCCATCTTTGGGACTGCTGCGGTTTCAAAAGAATCAGAAATATTGCTAAAATGTTATAAAAATGTCGTCAGAAACAGGTAAGAACTTTTTTTCGTCAGCTGTTCGATGGAGTTGTAATGGTCATAAAAACATGTTCGTACAAAATAGCTTAAAGCTGCTATTTTGCAGTATTAACACCAACTACAACAACAGTGTCGTTTTTTAAAATTTACTCGTGGTGTCTCAAAGCTTAAGATAAGTTGTTTTTGTTATGCTTTATATTTTTGCCTTAGACAAATTTATTGGAAGTTATTTTACTTTTATTGAAACAATTCTTAGTATAGTCATTTAAAATTTGCAAAACAAATAATCTGAATCAGAATTCAAATTATTTTGAATTCTGATTCAAATTTAATTCAGTTCAGTTCAAAATACTTTATTGATGCCAAAGAGAAATTCATGTTATTGAACAAACTTACCCATATTTAGTTGAAATAATACAACACACATTTCAAAATCAGGTTAAATTTACATTTTTTATATTATTTTTTTATATATTCTTTTGTATTTAATATAGTTATGCTGTCAAAAACATTACCACAGATTTTATGAGCAAAGTTAAAACTTTTAAGAGTTGTATATCAAAGAAAGGTTTTCATATAAAAAAGCAATTTGTGATCATTTACATTAAAAACTTCCTAAAAACATAAGAGTTGTGACTTAAATTCACAAAATATATTTAAAAACTTAGAATAGTCTGCCTCATAACAATAAAACAATATTCTTTTGATGTCCATGTAAAAAAAACAGAAGGAAAAAAAATTATACATGTATATATTTTTTTCAGGTTGCATTTCTTAATTTCCACAAATTTCATTAAAATAATTTTTGCTAAAATGTATTTAGATCCATAATGATGTTGCATTGTTGGTTATTCTTGTAATTTTTTGTGTACAAAAACTCATGACCACGTTGGATGAAAATAGTTTTACTTATTCGCACAAAACATTTACAAAATTCACATTTTCACTGAATTACAGAAACATTGTGAGAAATGATAGTTGTAAGAAAGTTATGTCATACAGCAGAGTGTTAATGAAGACACATTTGATTAGCTTTTACTGTTCTGAAATGCATTAGGCACATGGAGATAAGAACCAGTGAGTGTAGCCTAAACTTTGAACTCGAAGCAGCTTGGAAACCTCTGACAGCATCTTCCATTGAGGGACAGCAGGAAAGGTGAACAGTTAAAATGGCTGTAGTTTGTGCTCTAGCATGTTGTAGTCACAGACGGTTTGCATAGACTCACAACCTGTGTTATAGGAATGCCCTTAGCTCCATTTAAGGCAGTGAAAAGAGTCAAAGTAGTTCGTAATGACGATGTTTGCGCGCACATTTTAACCAGTGTTGTAGAAGACAACAATGAGACGCACATAAACATTAGTGTACCACTGACAATATATGGTTTTACACTACTTTAAATCTGTAAGGGCACATAAGTATTAATTCATTATTGTCCATGGTGACATATTCACATACAGCTATTGCCTACACAAGGCATTGTTCTTAAAGTTTTTTTTTTGTTTGTTTTTTTTTTCCACAATTTCCACACAAATGCATGCAACTTCCCTTTAAACTATTACAGGATCATTTATATTTACAGATTTATTTGAAACAGTAGAAAAAACACGACAGTACTAATATTCACATGAGCTAACGGACATTAGGATTAGCTCTAAAGTCTGAACCTGAGACTTAAACATACTGTTAGCCAGTAGTTGATTATCATTCTACACATCAACAACAACCAAGCTTATGGGTTTCGTTGAGCTCCAGGTTCAGTTTGCCTCTTTGCCAGCTTACATGTAAACAATCTATTGTAGAAAACCATTGCTTATCTGTTTATTCCACTTGGTAATAATCTATCATCTAAATGGGTATTCATTTTAAAAATGTAAAAATTAATACCTTGTTCCCAATGCCATTTGGTCTTTTTGACTCTTAAAAAAGCAGCTGAATTATCACCTCGCCTCAAACCAAAATAAATGTGAACAAACTTCTGCTGGTCAATAGTATCGACAGTGTCACATAACCACATTTCCATATATCCACCTGTAAGTAAATTGTAGTACATTTCTTTTAATCATTTGTCCCCGGGACCAGTATAAATGAATTCCATCGGCATGAAGCGTCCTGTGGAAGACGCCTTGTTTTCCTGCCAGAAAAAGACCAAAACTGAAAAAGTACGACACAGCAAAGGGGCGAAATGACCAGCACCCTTTTCAGTGCTGTTTTTAAGTGCATAATTCCTTGAACAAAGTCTGTTCAGAGGCAGAAGTTCCCCCGCCGCTTTTCTTCTCTGATTAAGCAGCTGTAGCATGTCCACCATCTATAATGTTGCGTTTTTGTACCCGTGTAAAAAGAAAAGAAAAAAAAAAATTATCATCTCAAGACTCAAACTCGCCGTCGCTGCTGACGGAGATCTCTGGTGTAGACGCCCCTGTCCCTCTGCGCTCAGTCTCTGTGCTGCAGTCGCTTGCCTCTGGGCTGCCGAGGTGGCGAGGGGAAGTAGGCAGCAGGTGGGGGTGGGGGTGCCGCTCTTGCAGGGCACCGTCAGGGGAGCCCTCCGACGGCAGGACAGACGGATCCTGTTGAAGCCTGAGGTGGGGGACAGAAATTAGTTATTGTACCTCTCCTCAGTTTAAATGGAAATGCCCACCTCCCCCACGAAATTCAGTATTTAGGAAATTTCAACTCTATTATTCCTCTCTTTAAAACGATGTGGGAACCTGCCTGTTTTTTGCCGATGCGGCGCGGTCTCTTTGACGGCGGTTCTTGAACCAGTTACCGACTTGTGTAGGCGTGAGACCCGTGGCCTGGGCCAGGTGGCGTTTCCTGGACGGGTTGGGGTAGGGATCTTGGAGATACCACTCTCTCAACAAGCTCCGAGTCCGTTCCTGGAAAATGGGAGATATTTCATCTTCAATCCTTACGTTTTAGTCTCTAATGAAACTGGCTTGTCCCTCTTGTATGATGCGGTCGTTGAACAGATTAGACTAGATTTATAAACAGATAAACACTGTTTACAGTTGACGTATACATGACCATGTATATCTACTAAATTGGATCATGCTAAGGGGCTTAGTAAGATGACAGACTGGTCATCCCCACAGAGGTTTGGATTAAAGATTATACGATTATGAGCAATACTTCCACTGGCCACAAGAGGGAGCTCACACACACAAATGTGGAGGCAAAGTTCACGCTCCTTTTCCTCTAACATGCTGTTGAAGCAATTTATATTCATCTGATATTTTTTATAATAAGCATAAAATATACCCAAAGGCTTTAGTAGTTTAAAAGAATATTTTAATTTTATATTATATCTAGAATTATTGAGAATATTTGTTCTAGTGACAGAAAATGTTTTAAGAAGACATTTTGTACAGAAGAATGCAAACGTGACCAAAACTGCAATCTTAAAAGTTGAATTCCTTTATGGAATAAAGATGAATGAGATTTATTTCGTTTTTCCAACATATTAAAATAAATTCCACTATATAGCTTTTTTTTTATGTCAAAGACAAATTTAATGCACAAAAAGCAATGATAAAAGCTTGGCTTCTCAGTTAATTTGACGTTATATAAAGTACTTTAAAGTATGAAGATGTTAGATAAAGTAACTTTTGTTTTTTCGCCACACAAAATAACCACAGGTGAGATCATTGCTAGTAAGTCAAACAAATAGTTAAAATGACCACAGAAACAACTAAAATATATTTTTTTCTCTGTTTGTCAGTATTGTTTTTATTTGTTGTAACATCTATAACATAGTTGCTATGTTACCATTTTGATTCTTGATATTTAGCAGTATTTCCAAGAAGGATTTACAAGACCTCACAGTTGATGGTTGATTTGCAGCTACAGCTTAGAGAGTCACTGAGATGGAGCATACTTGTGCAACAGCCTGGAGTCGTTTAGACATGCAGGCCGAAGGATAAGGACGATCATCTTAAGAGCTCAAAGTCAAGCCTGTTTGATCTCAAAGTCAGAGAAAAAATTATCTGGACTGGTGTTTTTAAAATATCCACTTAATGTTTGTGCTCTCTACGTGCCCATTGTTTTCTTCTAATTGATGAATTGAACATCTTTATCGTAAGTATAAAATACAAGTTTACAACGTCTGTGTAAGTTCTTACCTTAAAGCAGTGCGTCTTTTGCTCGCCATCCCAAATGGTGCGGGGCAATGGAAACTTCTTCCTGATCCGATACTTCTCCACCGGGCCCAGCGGCCGCCCCCTCAGCCTTTCCGCCTCTCTGTAGTGCGCATCCAGCCAGAGGTCTTGCAGCTTGGCATGCGACTCGCGGGTAAACCTGTGGCTCTGGAGGATCTGATAAAGCGCCTCGAAGTTCCCGGTGTGGAAGGCGACCAGAGCTCTCGCTCGCATCACAGACTCGTGCCGATTGAGCGCCTCCCCCGCAGAGCCGGGCACGGCGGCAGGCAGCGACCAGAGGAACCGACCCAGGCGCTCGATATCCCCGGTCTCCTCCAGGTTCTCGCACACCCGGGCGACCTGGTCGGGCGTGAACATCGGCAGTGGGAACATCTCACCTCGTCGCTTCACGGTAGCTCGGCTGAGATATGTTCACAATCCACATGGGACGGTATATCCGTGTGTTGAATCTCCGTAGGCCTGTTGGAAAGGTTTCGCCACAACTTCAGCAGCCTCTCCTGGTATTTAGGTGTGGGTACTTCTGGGAAGATGCTGTTGGCTCCACCATTACAGGCAACAGCAGAGACAAATGAAGAAAGAGGACAAGCAGTTGCTAGTATTTATAGCTAGATACAATTAGCATCTCTGTGGTTGTTTTGAGAAGGATTATACGTCCTGGCCATTAGCCTCTTAGTGGGGGGTAGTGTGTACAGAGGTGCCTGGCTGATCAGCTTGTTTGGCTTAGCCTGAGGATACACCGACTGCCAGGATGACTGCAGTGAGCAAACAAGTGAGGAAAGATTATTTAAAAGGTCTGATCTTTAGGAGATACATGTCCATCTCAGGAGCAGATGATGGAGAGAAGAAAATGTGTGAAGAAAAAGGAAATAAACACTAAAAAGAACAAGAGGCAGAAAGTTTAGAGGCAGCTGATTTCTTAGAAAATTGAGAACTTAAAAGAATCCTCTTAAATAATATTTTGCATAATTGACTAAGTATGTTTTCTTGACATTTGCCCAAGGGTAAATGTTGGGATAGAACCCCCTCACCCCCACCAGCTAATACCCATGTAATTAAAGCAGACATGGGTTACAGATATTCTATCCCCGGTGACCTCTCCTCACACCAGTTCAAACTGGGAACGCTCCTGGACGTCCATACAGAGCAAGTCAGGACACCATGTTATTAATCTGCAAACTGGTTCAGTCCTTCTTATCTCAGTAGCTCATTAATCAGTCTAAGGACAATTTTCCTATTAATCAGACAACAGATCCTGTAAGCATCTGTTGGCTAATGCTCAAACATGTTACACTTCATTTACCCAAAGTAGCCTAAAGGGAAACAAATGTGCTCCCAACAACATCAGTGTGGAGGTGACGTTTATTTTGCAACAGGTAACCCGGAAGCCAGATATTGATTATTTCCAGAGTGATTAAGGATTTGAGCAAAGGTTGCAGTCAGGTGAAGGTTTGTCTGGCTTAAAACGAAGTAAAAAAAACAAACAAAAAACGTAGAAATCTGTCGAGAATCCAGGTATTAGGAGGCTGGAAAACAATAGATCAATAAGCAACTGAAACCCTGACTTGTTTTCACATTGTACATCAACTACTTCAAGTTGTCACTCAGAAATCATTTTAAATGTAAATGGGGACATTTTGTGAAGTCCTATGTTAGAGCAATACATGCATATAAGATCAAATAAACTGAAAAGCTGCATTTCCATTCACCTTGAAATTACTCAAACTGGAATTACAAAAATAAATACCGTTATTTGTGTCAATTTTGAAAAATGTAAACATTTTTGGTAAGATATTTTAGGATGAAGTGATTTTTTCGGTGGTAATTAAATAAGTGCATTTTGCAAAACTGCAACAGAGATACTTTCTTTGCATCTCACAAGTCATGTCATCAACAACCAGATGTTACTACTGGCGGAAAAGATGAAGAAATCGACAGGAAGTGGTAGGAGGATGATGCGGCAGCATGTTTTTTTAGTGACATCACATGAACAAACTTATTCATCTGGGATTAGAAACACAGCAATTGTGAAATTGTGGGGTTTTTTTTACATTAGCCAAATATCGACAAAGTTTTGCGCACATTTGAAATGGAAGCGCATTTTCCAAATGATCCAAAAATGAAAATTTAGTGTTTTTCTTGCGAAATTCCAAAGGTAGTTTTTATGTTCATCCTTTATTGCATCAAGTGTCAAAGAAAATGTGGAAGAAAATGCTTGGCCCGCACAGAGACCCAACCTAAGTCTATAAAGCATCTTTGGGATAAATTAGAGCATCAAACATGATTGTCTGACTTCATAATTGCTGCCCTGAAAAAAATTATAAACAATTTACATAAACAGACTTCTGAACCTTGTAGAAAGCCAGTTTAGAAGAGCTAAAGCTCTTAAACATCTTGTTAAAGTATTTTATTATCAAAAATAGGTTATTATTAGTTGGTTTGTCATAGTGACCCGATAGGTTTTGCAAAATAGTTTATTAAACTCAATGTTGGGGTCTATGGGGAAAGTTGTTGTTAACTACTGTCTTGCCTGTAATGGGTAAAGTTTTCATCTGGGTAAACTCTGATTAGTTTCTATGGAGGCTAATGCTAACTGCTAGTCAGAGCGGGCCCAATATTAATGGAGAGCTGCCATCTTAAAGTGGCTCCAATCTCAAATCTGCTTGAGATTTGAGATTGGAGCCACTCAACTCTAATTAAACTAGTTTATGAGTTTAGTTAAATTCATAAACTAAACTTGTCTATGAGTTTAGTTTAAATGCCTTCAGTATTCTTAAACTACAAAATATGATCCTGCTGCTGAAGAAGAGACCAAGAGCTTTGTTATTGTTTTATAAATGCAGTTAATTGTGTTGATGACAAATTATAATTAGTTTCTGAAAGAAACATTTTATTTCCAGACAAAAAGTGAGCAGAAGCCGAATGAGATTTTTACTAAGCATAAAAGTGAGAAAACAAAATATTGGAAGATGGATAAAACCATTTTCTAAATTGAATAAAGTGAAAAGGCAGAACAAGTTGAAAGAATGAATAACAAAACTTTGTGAAACATCAGAAATCAGTTATTTTACAGACGCCTCGCAGCATTTCAAGTGGGAGGCGTAAAAACCTGCAGGGTTATTGTACAAACAGTTGGGAGTCAATTGATGCCTGTTGGATCCTAAGTCTAGATTAACTTCACCAGTGGGGCGGTGGGTTAACAAAACGAAGGGGACAAGCTGTGTTGCATGTGTGTGTGTGTGTGTGTCAGTAACACTGTTTGGCACAGAAGAGGAGAAATGAGCTCAGTGAAGATCATGCTGCCATTTAATCTAACTCCTCCAAGTTTTAGACACTTTGCACCTCCACCGCCACGCAGACTCGCATAGACAAACATTTACCTTCATTAGAAGGAGTCCACCCCCCAGTGCCCCACCTCCCAATCTGTTTAACATTTTTAAGAGCAGACTGAATCAAAATCTGCTTAAGCACACACTCAAGCCGTTAGAATAAGACGAATAATAAGATGGTTGATGAACAGATGATGTGTTTGTAGAAGGGCAGGGGGGTAAAGGGTGAGACGAAAAGCTTGATTATACTTTAATGCTATAATTAGATAGCAAATACACATCACATATAAAACTGTTTTGATTTTCAGCATAAACTATTTTTTCACAATGTGGACACACGTTGAATACTTCCAACCTGATTAAATCATTGGTCTTTTATGTGTTCCTGTGTATGTTTGATGTTGACTGTTTACAATATGCATTACAGTGTGATATAGTTAAAATGGCACCAAACTCCAAGTTTTGGCATTCATAACCTGTAACTTTGCAAATAATCCAGTTTTCAATTAAATCTTCATGCACCTTGTAACTAGTGACATTTTACCTTTTCCCCATAGTTTTTGTTGTGTATAATAATACACACAGGTATGAAACATCAGTTTTCCACCACCAATGTATTTTTCTGGAAGCTATTAGCCAAAACCTTAGCTTAGCATCATGTGGGAGTATAGATAATCTAACCCTCAGTTCTATTATCTACAGCAGATTAACAGTATTTGATAATTTTCTTTCTGAATATACAGAAATCCAGTTTAGTCTTAACTTGAGACCTCTCAGATTATTCATAGAAAAAATAAAATCTTTTTGGCATGAGAAAAAAAAAACTTTTTCACATAAACGACAAAATCAGCTAATTATACTTGAATGATTTGGATGTATCCCTACTTGGCATAATATTCTCTCTTAAAAAAAGGCACTTGTTGATTTTGTCATCAGACAAAGCAGGGGTCATGCACTGTGGTGTGCCACGCAGGAACTGGGGGTATAAATCCACACCAAGCACAATTAACAAGCAATTGGGGAGGAGAAGTAATTAGTATTATCTGCTTATCATCGTTACCCCTATTTGAAGGAAAAGGGGTTACAAAACCCACAGTGACATTTACACCCACACACACACACACACACACACACACACACACACACACACACTTACTTAATTCCCTCATGGCTAATGTGTAAGAGCTAATTACAAGCTCATTTACAACTCAATGGGAGCATCCTCTCAGACAGGTCTATCCCCCTGCATCCTCCCCTCGTCTCCACAATGCGGTTTGCTGTACCGCTCAGGCCAGGAGGACTCAGAAAACGACTCCCAAGGTTAAAATGTGTTTCCAGAACAAAAGCCTGTTCCAACCAGGGAACTGTGTCCAGCACTGTCCCAGTGTCTTTGGACAGTTTTTACCAGAACAATGTTCCACAGTAAGACAAGGCCCCTGGTTTGGAGGTTTAGTTTTGTAAAGGGAGAGTCTTAATAAGCCCTTTGAATTTTAAACATTGTAATTCAGTCATATCAGGTTAAAATTGTTTGCATAATATTTACTGTAACTTAAAACTTTAATATATTTTAATTAAATTGCATTTCTTTATTACAGTCTCTGACAAAAGAGAAAATATGTCTTCAATTCAAAGTCATATTTTAGGGGTTTGAACACGTTCTGAGGCACATTTTAAACAACCACAAACCCGACAGATCAATGATAAAATCAGCTAATTTTGTGTTAATCTTTTGTGCCTAATTCCTCATAGGGACACTTTTGACTCAGTTTTGTTTAGTGAATCTTTATGAATGTTAAAAACTCCCTCTGATTTTCAAGTGATTTTAACTTAGTTTCACAGTGTAAGCGCTATGAATGACTGTGAGTTTATGGCTGGAAATGCTTCAGATTTATCAGGAGTTGGTGCTGGACTTTATTCCTGAGTGAAGGCTGGAAAACAGAGAGATTAACTCTTTCTTTTGGCATTAAGTACAGCAAGCTTCTGTCCATTTTATGTGCTAAAATAACAAAGAAACATCCCTACAAATTAATATTTTACTCACTGTGTTTACATTGGCATTAATAAGAAGAAAACTGACTGTATAAGTTCATCTTTCTGTGGTCTTTAAAGTCTGATATTAAGGAAATAATTGCTTCTCATACATTTATTTACAATCTGATAACTAATTATAATTCTCTACAGTAGTTTTTGTTTGTCTTCATTTTGATTTCTGAAACAAAAGCCTTTGATATGCGAGTCAGAGTGTGTTTGCGTCAGTGTTATAGTTCACCCTCCAGACGGTATCATGTTCACTGTTTGAAGGATCGGCTTAACCACAAGCTCACAGTTATCTGACAAGCTCCAGTTTAAGCCTTTAAAAAATAGAACAGCAAATCACTGCCTGCTCAGGACCGGGTGTCTTCTGGGTTTGTGGATCTGCTGCTTCCAAAGCTTACGAGTCTTTTTCTTATTTCAAAAACACAGAACAAACAGGAAAAATACTCACCAAGTTTACTTTTAATGTATAAAAACATTGGTAGTATTAAGGAAAATGTAGGTTTTTTTCACAATGCTCAGCATCATCGCAGTAGTCAACATCAGTGTTGTGATGTTTTCCATTTATTGTTCAGCCGGATTTCAATAGAAAATCAGGGAGTGATGCCGTAATGGTGCAGATGTTTGCATCAACCTCTAACTCTCAGAAAAAATATATGTATTTCTGCTTGAATACACTGCACTGCAGGTTTTTTGTGTTTTTAAAGAATCTTTAATGACAGTATGGATCATGTTCAGGCACTGATTCATTGAGAACCACCAGAAAACAAGAGCTTTATTATTATTATTATTATTATTATTAATCTACAATCTATGAAGTGTTCTGTGACAGAAACATATT